ATTGGGGGCCAGGGTGTATTGGGGGCCTGGGTGTATTGGGGGCCTGGGTGTATTGGGGACCTGGGTGTAGAGGGGGGCCCTGGGTGTATTGGGGGCCTGGGTGTTGAGGGGGGCCCTGGGTGTATTGGGGGCCTGGGTGTATATTGGGGGCCTGGGTGTATATTGGGGGCCAGGGTGTATTGGGGGCCTGGGTGTATTGGGGGCCTGGGTGTATTGGGGGCATGGGTGTATTGGGGGCATGGGTGTATTGGGGGCCTGGGTGTATTGGGAGCCTGGGTGTATTGGGTGCCTGGGTGTATTGGGGGCCAGGGTTTAGAGGGGGGCCTGGGTTTAGAGGGGGGCCTAGGTGTAGAGGGGGGCCTAGGTGTAGAGGGGGCCTAGGTGTAGAGGGGGCCTAGGTGTAGAGGCGGGACTGGGTGTAGAGGGAGGCCTGGGTGTAGAGGCGGTGCTGAGTGTAGAGGTGGCCATAGTGCAGGGGGGCCAGAGTGTAGAGGGGGCCAGAGTATAGAGGTGGCCATAGTGCAGGGGGGCCAGAGTGTAGAGGGGGCCAGAGTATAGAGGGGGCCATAGTGCAGGGGGGCCAGAGTGTAGAGGGGGCCAGAGTATAGAGGGGGCCATAGTGCAGGGGGGCCAGAGTGTAGAGGGGGCCAGAGTATAGAGGGGGCCAGAGTATAGAGGGGGTCATAGTGCAGGGGGGCCAGAGTGTAGAGGGGGCCAGAGTGTAGAGGGGGCCAGAGTATAGAGGGGGCCATAGTGCAGGGGGGCCAGAGTGTAGAGGGGGCCAGAGTATAGAGGGGGCCATAGTGCAGGGGGGCCAGAGTGTAGAGGGGGCCATAGTGCAGGGGGGCCAGAGTATAGAGGGGGCCATAGTGCAGGGGGGCCAGAGTGTAGAGGGGGCCAGAGTGTAGAGGGGGCCATAGTGCAGGGGGGGCCATAGTGTAGAGGGGGCGGCGTGCCCTAGGAAAGGTGGTGGTGAACAACAAATACGTTTAGTGTGTGGTTGTGACGGTGGACACCAGCAGGCGGGTATACTGCTCAATATTCCCCCCGGTGTTTGTGTTGGTCAGACTGGTGAGTACATGTGCCCCGGGGCCCAGTTAGTGTCCCACCTCACTCTTCCTGTGGCCCCGGGGCCCAGCCAGGGTCCCACCTCACTCTTCCTGTGGCCCCGGGGTCCAGCCAGGGTCCCACCTCACACTTCCTGTGGTCCCGGGGCCCAGCCAGGGTCCGACCTCACACTTCCTGTGGCCCCGGGGCCCAGTTAGTGTCCCACCTCACACTTCCTGTGGCCCCGGGGCCCAGCCAGGGTCCCACCTCACACTTCCTGTGGTCCCGGGGCCCAGCCAGGGTCCCACCTCACATTTCCTGTGGCCCCGGGGCCCAGCCAGGGTCCCACCTCACACTTCCTGTGGCCCCGGGGCCCAGCCAGGGTCCCTCCTCACACTTCCTGTGGCCCCGGGGCCCAGCCAGGGTCCCACCTCACACTTCCTGTGGCCCCGGGGCCCAGCCAGGGTCCCACCTCACTCTTCCTGTGGCCCCGGGGCCCAGCCAGGGTCCCACCTCACACTTCCTGTGGCCCCGGGGCCCAGCCAGGGTCCCACCTCACACTTCCTGTGGCCCCGGGGCCCAGCCAGGGTCCCACCTCACACTTCCTGTGGCCCCGGGGCCCAGCCAGGGTCCCACCTCACACTTCCTGTGGCCCCGGGGCCCAGCCAGGGTCCCACCTCACACTTCCTGTGGCCCCGGGGCCCAGCCAGGGTCCCACCTCACTCTTCCTGTGGCCCCGGGGCCCAGCCAGGGTCCCACCTCACACTTCCTGTGGTCCCGGGGCCCAGCCAGGGTCCGACCTCACACTTCCTGTGGCCCCGGGGCCCAGTTAGTGTCCCACCTCACACTTCCTGTGGCCCCGGGGCCCAGCCAGGGTCCCACCTCACACTTCCTGTGGTCCCGGGGCCCAGCCAGGGTCCCACCTCACATTTCCTGTGGCCCCGGGGCCCAGCCAGGGTCCCACCTCACACTTCCTGTGGCCCCGGGGCCCAGCCAGGGTCCCACCTCACACTTCCTGCGGCCCCGGGGCCCAGCCAGGGTCCCACCTCACACTTCCTGTGGCCCCGGGGCCCAGCCAGGGTCCCACCTCACACTTCCTGCGGCCCCGGGGCCCAGCCAGGGTCCCACCTCACACTTCCTGTGGCCCCGGGGCCCAGCCAGGGTCCCACCTCCCACTTCCTGTGGCCCCGGGGCCCAGCCAGGGTCCCACCTCACACTTCCTGTGGCCCCGGGGCCCAGCCAGGGTCCCACCTCACACTTCCTGTGGCCCCGGGGCCCAGCCAGGGTCCCACCTCACAGTTCCTGTGGCCCCGGGGCCCAGCCAGGGTCCCACCTCACTCTTCCTGCGGCCCCGGGTCCCAGCCACGGTCCCACCTCACTCTTCCTGCGGCCCCGGGGCCCAGCCAGGGTCCCACCTCACTCTTCCTGCGGCCCCGGGTCCCAGCCACGGTCCCACCTCACTCTTCCTGCGGCCCCGGGGCCCAGCCAGGGTCCCACCTCACTCTTCCTGTGGCCCCGGGGCCCAGCCAGGGTCCCACCTCACTCTTCCTGCGGCCCCGGGTCCCAGCCACGGTCCCACCTCACTCTTCCTGCGGCCCCGGGGCCCAGCCAGGGTCCCACCTCACTCTTCCTGCGGCCCCGGGGCCCAGCCAGGGTCCCACCCGCCTCATGATATGTGTAATTCTTAAGAGTACCTGATCTGTCCATCAGGTCCATTTGACGGAAACAAATGGTCAGAGTTTCTTTTACTCTGATGCTCCTGCTACCTAGCAGTAAATAGGTACCTGGGAGTTAGACAGCTGCTAAGGGCTGCTTCCTCTGTGTGTGTGTGTGTGTGTGTGTGTGTGTGTGTGTGTGTGTGTATTCACCTAGTTGTGTTTGCGGGGGTTGAGCTTTGCTCTTTCGGCCCGCCTCTCAATTGTCAATCAACTGTTTTTCTAACTATTTTTTTTCCTCTCTCCTCCACACACACACTCACACCCCAAGAAGCAGCCCGTGACAGTTGACTAACTTCCAGGTACCTATTTACTGCTAGGTAACAGGGGCATTCAGGGTGAAAGAAACTTTGCCTATTTGTTTCTGCCTGGTGCGGGAATCGAACCCGCGCCACAGAATTAAGAGTCCTGTGCGCTATCCACCAGGCTACCAGGCCCAGAGGTGTGTGTGTGTGTGTGTACTCACCTAATTGTGCTTACGGGGGTTGAGCTCTGGCTCTTTGGTCCCGCCTCTCAACCGTCAATGAACAGGTGTATAGGTTCCTGAGCCTATTGGGCTCTATCATATCTACACTTGAAACTGTGTATGGAGTCAGCCTCCACCACATCACTGCCTAATGCATTCCATTTGTCAACCACTTTGATACTAAAAAAGTTTCTTTCTAATATCTCAATATAATATATAATGTGGTGTGTGTGTGTGTGTGTGTGTGTACGCATGTGTGTTCACCTAGTTGTGCTTGCGGGGATTGAGCTCTGCTCTTTCGGCCCGCCTCTCAACTGTCAATCACTCACCTGTTACTAGCTACTCATTTTTTCCACACACACACACACACACACACACACACACACACACACACACACACCCGCCCGCACCCACGCCCGCACGCACGGACGCAGATGAGCTGTATGAATTCTGGTAACAGTTTCCAAGAAGAGTCTCAAGGTTTGGTACACCAATGCTGATCGGGTATCCAATAAAGCAGATACAATAAAAGATGGCATCTTTTATACCTTATAAAAGTATCCGTGAAGCAGATCCAGACATAATTGCAATAGAAGAAACTAAAATAAATGACGTGATCTCAGATGCAATCTTTCCAGAGGAATACCAAGTGATAAGGAAAAAAAGGACACAGAGATCACTGCTAGTAAAGCGGAAATGAAAGGTTGAGGAACTAGAGAATTAGGGATATAATGGAAACACTAACTCCATACTTGGGATTCTGACAGCGGATGGGAGGAGGATTGTGATCTTGATAACCTACAATCCCCCATGAAACAGTAGACGGCCCAGGCAGGAATATGATGACAACAACAAGGCATGTATAGATGAACTGCAGAAGGCAGCAACAGCAGCTCACAGAATGAGAGCAGAACTGCTGGTCATGGGGGAACTAAGTCACATAGAGATCGACTGGGAATCAATGAATCCTCGTGGTGGGAAGGAAACGTGGGGGACAAAATTAGTGGAAGTTATAGACAGGAATTTCATAACACAACATGTGAAGGAAGACAAGTGAAAGAGGAGAGGATACACCAAGCCTATGAGACCTGATTTTCACCCAGATCGATGAAGACAATTAGAATTTGGAACATGAAATACCGCTAGGAGCCAGTGACCATTGTGTCCTAGTCTTTGACTAATTAATCAAACTTAAAATTGTGACCACGGAGCAAGAGGTCTGGAAAATAGTCAGCTAGGGAAGAGAATTACAGGAGATGGGAATATCTGGGAGAAGTGCTGTGGGAGGTAGAACTTAGAGGAAAAATAATGTGAGATATGACGACACATGAACATCAAAGGAGACCAAAGAACGTTTCATACCATCAGTAAGGGGAAAAAGGAGGAGGAATATAATAACCCATGGTTTAACAGTGTCAGGAAGCCAAAATGAGAAGCAAGAAGGAGTGGAAGAAGTACAGATGACAAAAGGACAGATGCAACAGAACTAGGAATGAACACAGGAGAGTATCGAATTTTTTTTAATTATAATATAATTTTCAATTATAATATAATTATGAGAAGTATATTGCGATTAAAGCAAAAAAAACAATATAAATTATTGCATAGTCATATAAGAAGAAAAATGTCGGTGAACGACCACGTGACAAGACTAAGGAGAACAGAGGGGGCTCATACGGAAACCGACAAGGAAATCTGCGAGGCACTAAAATCCCAGTTTCCAAGAAGTGTTCACAACCGAGCCTGAGCAGCTGCCATTGTTAGAAGAGGAGATGAACCAAGATGAGAGACTATCAGATATAGAGGTGACAGCTGAGGAGGTAATGAAACAGATGACAACACTGGACGTAACTAAAGCAGTTGGACCAGACAATGTATCACCGTGGATACTAAAAGAGGCAGCACAGGCCCTCAGCGTGTCTCTGGCAAGGATCTTTAATGAGTCACTTATGACGGGAGAGTTACCCAGTGGCTGGAAGAAGGCAAATAATACCAGTTTTTAAGACAGGAGATTGAGAAAAGACACTTAACTCTACAAAGAACTTGAAAGAATAATCAGGTTAAGACTGCATGGCTTCACACTTAGGAGAACTTAATTCTTTAACACCAACATGGGTTCAGGGAAGGGACCTCTTACAGCTTGACCTGTAAAAAACTACAAATTATTTAATTTCCATTTCTTGTTAAGAGGTTTCAAGGTTTTAAGAGTTTTCTTTCAATAGTGTTCTACACTGTGTTCTCTTTACTTGATCTAATGTGTTGTCCTAGCAACAGTCGCTAGCTAACAGGAAGCAGGAGACTGGCAACAGTCGCCATCTAACAGGAAGCAAGAGACTATCAACAGTCACTAACAGGAAGCAAGAGACTGGTAACAGTCATCAACAGACAGGAAGCAAGAGACTGGCAACAGTCACTAACAGGAAGCAAGAGACTGGCAACAGTCGCCATCTAACAGGAAGCAAGAGACTATCAACAGTCACTAACAGGAAGCAGGAGACTGGCAACAGTCGCCAACAGACAGGAAGCAAGAGACTGGCAACAGTCACTAACAGGAAGCAGGAGACTGGTAACAGTCATCAACAGACAGGAAGCAAGAGACTGGCAACAGTCACTAACAGGAAGCAGGAGACTGGCAACAGTCGCCATCTAACAGGAAGCAAGAGACTATCAACAGTCACTAACAGGAAGCAAGAGACTGGTAACAGTCATCAACAGACAGGAAGCAAGAGACTGGCAACAGTCACCAACAGACAAGAAGCAAGAGACTGGCAACAGTCGCCAACAGACAGGAAGCAAGAGACTGGCAACAGTCGCTAGCTAACAGGAAGCAAGAGACTGGCAACAGTCACCAACAGACAGGAAGCAAGAGACTATCAACAGTCACCAACTAACAGGAAGCAAGAGACCGCCAACAGTCACCAACAGACAAGAAGCAAGAGACTGGTAACAGTCACCAACAGACAAGAAGCAAGAGACAGGCAACAGTCACCAACAGACAGGAAGCAAGAGACAGGCAACAGTCACCAACAGACAAGAAGCAAGAGACAGGCAACAGTCACCAACAGACAGGAAGCAAGAGACAGGCAACAGTCACCAACAGACAAGAAGCAAGAGACTGGCAACAGTCACCAACAGACAAGAAGCAAGAGACTGGCAACAGTCACCAACAGACAGGAAGCAAGAGGCAGGCAACAGTCACCAACAGACAGGAAGCAAGAGACAGGCAACAGTCACCAACAGACAAGAAGCAAGAGACAGGCAACAGTCACCAACAGACAGGAAGCAAGAGACAGGCAACAGTCACCAACAGACAAGAAGCAAGAGACTGGCAACAGTCACCAACAGACAAGAAGCAAGAGACTGGCAACAGTCACCAACAGACAGGAAGCAAGAGGCAGGCAACAGTCACCAACAGACAGGAAGCAAGAGACTGGCAACAGTCACCAACAGACAGGAAGCAAGAGACAGCCAACAGTCACCAACAGACAAGAAGCAAGAGACTGGCAACAGTCACCAACAGACAAGAAGCAAGAGACTGGCAACAGTCGCCAACAGACAGGAAGCAAGAGACTGGCAACAGTCGCCAACAGACAGGAAGCAAGAGACTGGCAACAGTCACCAGCAGACAGGAAGCAAGAGACCGCCAACAGTCACCAACAGACAGGAAGCAAGAGACAGGCAACAGTCACCAACAGACAGGAAGCAGGAGTGTCTGTCACGACGCCACTAAACCCACTCTTCATGTATATTAAAGTTCTCGAGTAAATTTACTTTCCTTGTCACTCGATCTTGAAGATGTTGAGAGTAAACTGCTCCTGACGTCACCTGGTCAGGGGAGAAAATTACATCAACAAACAGGAGCGAAATTAATCTCCTCTTCCACAACAATATGGCCAAGACGGTGTCTAGGAGACCAGCCCTCCACAACAATATGGCCAAGACGGTGACTAGGAGACCAGCCCTCCACAACAATATGGCCAAGACAGTGTCTAGGAGACCAGCCCTCCACAACAATATGGCCAAGACAGTGTCTAAGAGACCAGCCCTCCACAACAATATGGCCAAGACGGTGTCTAGGAGACCAGCCCTCCACAACAATATGGCCAAGACGGTGACTAGGAGACCAGCCCTCCACAACAATATGGCCAAGACGGTGACTAGGAGACCAGCCCTCCACAACAATATGGCCAAGACGGTGTCTAGGAGACCAGCCCTCCACAACAATATGGCCAAGACGGTGTCTAGGAGACCGGCCCTCCACATCAATATGGCCAAGACGGTGTCTAGGAGACCAGCCCTCCACAACAATATGGCCAAGACGATGTCTAGGAGACCGGCCCTCCACAACAATATGGCCAAGACGGTGTCTAGGAGACCAGCCCTCTACAACAATATGGCCAAGACGGTGTCTAGGAGACCAGCCCTCCACAACAATATGGCCAAGACGGTGTCTAGGAGACCAGCCCTCCACAACAATATGGCCAAGACGGTGTCTAGAAGACCAGCCCTCCACAACAATATGGCCAAGACGGTGACTAGGAGACCAGCCCTCCACAACAATATGGCCAAGACAGTGTCTAGGAGACCAGCCCTCCACAACAATATGGCCAAGACGGTGTCTAGGAGACCAGCCCTCCACAACAATATGGCCAAGACGGTGTCTAGGAGACCAGCCCTCCACAACAATATGGCCAAGACGGTGACTAGGAGACCAGCCCTCCACAACAATATGGCCAAGACAGTGTCTAGGAGACCAGCCCTCCACAACAATATGGCCAAGACGGTGTCTAGGAGACCGGCCCTCCACAACAATATGGCCAAGACGGTGTCTAGGAGACCAGCCCTCCACAACAATATGGCCAAGACGGTGTCTAGGAGACCGGCCCTCCACAACAATATGGCCAAGACGGTGTCTAGGAGACCAGCCCTCCACAACAATATGGCCAAGACGGTGTCTAGGAGACCGGCCCTCCACAACAATATGGCCAAGATGGTGTCTAGGAGACCGTCTCTCCACAACAATATGGCCAAGACGGTGACTAGGAGACCAGCCCTCCACAACAATATGGCCAAGACGGTGCCTAGGAGACCGGCCCTCCACAACAATATGGCCAAGACGGTGACTAGGAGACCAGCCCTCCACAACAATATGGCCAAGACGGTGACTAGGAGACCAGCCCTCCACAACAATATGGCCAAGACGGTGACTAGGAGACCGGCCCTCCACATCAATATGGCCAAGACAGTGTTGCACAAATCTTGACAATGTAATATAATATTAAAGATATTAAAATATTCCTCTTGAACACTGAGTCATGAATTCGTCCGAACTTAACTTTCAGATAGTACTATACTGACTAGTTAGGAATTATTTAAAAATATTTAAAGCTAAGAAACAAAATTGAATATTGCTAGGCCTTGTATAGTACAAACATGTACTATACTAGGCCTCAGATATCGTGTATTAGGCGTAGGAAGGTTGGGTTAGGTTAGTTTGTAAAATGCAAAACAAGTAAAAATAGTTTTGCGGTTTGTCCAACTCAATAGTTCAAATATCTACTTTCTAATTGCGTTATACGTCGGTATATGTACTATCGTCCTCATCGTTACTATAACAACGACTTAAACAGTAGGATGGGCTGATATATATATATATATATATATATATATATATATATATATATATATATATATATATATATATATATATTATACACAGCACCATCAAGGCATAATAGGGGGACTTTCGACAAGCCGACGGCTTCCTTTTCTCGTCGAGGCGACTAGTGTTAATGGCTCTCCGGTAAATTCAGGTATAAACTCAAGAGAGACTGTAGAGATAATGAATGTTGCATGTGTAACTGTGCACCCTGCAGGTGGAGGCGTGTATGAGAATGTATACGTGTTGCATTCTTGTATGAGGCGTGTATGAACATGTATAAGTGTTGTATTCGTGTATGAGAATGTATAAGTGTTGTATTCGTTTACCAAAGCGGTCCCACACGACTAATAAAGTATGTTGCAAGCGCTGTATAATTTTTTTGGACAAATCCCAGCTTAAGAGGCCTTAATAATAACTAACTTTGGCTGTCGAATATAATTCTCATAAACACAAAACACATTTTTTTTTTGGCTTTGCTGTGAGCATATTTCCAGCACCACCACCACCACCACCACCACCACCACCACCACCCTCCACCACCACCACCCTCCAGCACCACCACCACCCTCCAGCACCACCACCACCACCACCCTCCAGCACCACCACCCTCCTCCACCACCACCCTCCAGCACCACCACCACCACCACCCTCCAGCACCACCACCCTCCAGCACCACCACCACCACCCTCCAGCACCACCACCACCACCACCCTCCAGCACCACCACCACCACCACCACCCTCCAGCACCACCACCCTCCAGCACCACCACCACCCTCCACCACCACCACCCTCCACCACCACCACCCTCCAGCACCACCACCCTCCACCACCACCACCCTCCAGCAGCACCACCACCACCACCCTCCAGCACCACCAACCTCCAGCACCACCACCACCACCCTCCAGCACCACCACCCTCCAGCACCACCACCACCACCACCCTCCAGCACCACCACCACCACCACCCTCCACCACCACCACCCTCCACCACCACCACCCTCCAGCATCACCACCCTCCACCACCACCACCCTCCAGCAGCACCACCACCACCACCCTCTAGCACCCACCACCACCACCACCCTCTAGCACCCACCACCACCCTCTAGCACCCACCACCACCCTCTAGCACCCACCACCACCACCACCCTCTAGCACCACCACCCTCCTCCACCACCACCACCACCACCACCCTCCAGCACCACCACCCTCCTCCACCACCACCACCACCACCCTCCAGCACCACCACCCTCCTCCACCACCACCACCACCCTCCAGCACCACCACCACCACCACTCTCCAGCACCACCACCCTCCACCACCACCACCCTCCAGCACCACCACCCTCCACCACCACCACCCTCCAGCAGCACCACCACCACCACCCTCCAGCACCACCAACACCACCCTCCAGCACCACCACCACCCTCCAGCACCACCACCACCACCACCCTCCTCCACCACCACCACCCTCCAGCACCACCACCACCCTCCAGCACCACCAACACCACCACCCTCCTCCACCACCACCACCACCACCACCCTCCAGCACCACCACCACCATCACCCTCCAACACCACCACCACCACCACTCTCCAGCACCACCACCACCACCCTCCAGCACCACCACCACCACCCACCAGCACCACCACCACCACCCACCAGCACCACCACCACCACCCACCAGCACCACCAACACCCACCAGCACCACCACCACCACCCACCAGCACCACCAACACCCACCAGCACCACCACCACCACCCACCAGCACCAGCACCACCACCCTCCAGCACCACCACCATCACCCTCCAGCACCACCACCATCACCCTCCAGCACCACCACCACCACCCTCCAGCACCACCACCATCAACACCCTCCAGCACCACCACCACCATCACCCTCCAGCACCACCACCACCACCCTCCAGCACCACCACCATCAACACCCTCCAGCACCACCACCACCCTCCAGCACCACCACCACCCTCCAGCACCAGCACCACCACCCTCCAGCACCACCACCACCACCCTCCAGCACCACCACCATCAACACCCTCCAGCACCACCACCACCATCACCCTCCAGCACCACCACCACCCTCCAGCACAACCACCACCACCACCACCCTCCAGCACAACCACCACCACCCTCCAGCAGTACCACCCTCCAACACCACCACCCTCCAGCACCACCACCCTCCAGCACCACCACCACCCTCCAGCACAACCACCACCACCACCACCACCCTCCAGCACAACCACCACCACCCTCCAGCAGTACCACCCTCCAACACCACCACCCTCCAGCACCACCACCCTCCAGCACCACCACCACCCTCCAGCACCAACACCACCACCACCCTCCAGCACCACCACCCTCCAGCAGTACCACCCTCCAACACCACCACCACCCTCCAGCACCACCACCCTCCAGCACCACCACCACCACCCTCCAGCACCACCACAACATCCTCCAGCACCACCACCACCACCCTCCAGCACCACCACCACCACCACCCTCTAGCACCACCACCACCACGACCCTCCAGCACCACCACAACCCTCCAGCACCACCACCACCCTCCAGCACCACCACCACCCTCCAGCACCACCACCACCACCACCCTCCAGCACCACCAACATCACCACCCTCCAGCACCACCACCACCACCACCTTCCAGCACCACCACCACCTTCCAGCACCACCACCACCCTCCAGCACCAGCACCACCACCACCCTCCAGCACCACCACCACCACCACCCTCCAGCACCACCACCACCACCACCCTCCAGCACCACCACCACCACCCTCCATCACCACCACCACCCTCCATCACCACCACCCTCCAGCACCACCACCCTCCATCACCACCACAACCCTCCATCACCACCACCACCACCCTCCAGCACCACCACCTTCCAGCACCACCACCACCCTCCAGCACCACCACCACCACCACCCTCCAGCACCACCACCACCACCACCCTCCAGCACCACCACCACCACCCTCCAACACCACCACCACCCTCCAGCTGTACAGTGTACAAGATACTTGCCTGCTCATGACATCAGCTTGTCCCAGGCGGTTC